GCAGCGCAAGACGATGGCATGTGCATCTGCGTCTAAACTTCCTTTATAGAAGAACATTTTTGGCACTTTCAACGTAAGCGTCTACATAGTTTTAGTTAATTTGATCTTTTGCACACCTGAAAATACTGTTTGCTTTAACATGTAACCTTGAAATAAAGTAAGGAAGTGTGTTTCCTCTCAACTATTTGAAATCTACATAAGAAGTCCCTTATATGGTATTTCGTTTCATTTATCCAAAACTCTGAATGGAACAGAATGGAATATTCCCAGCCGACACTGTACCTGTGCAAGGTTGCGTCGATGTTTTCTACCACCACTGTGCAGGACACACAGACACTTGCCATCTCGCTCGCCCTCGCTCACAATGCAGCAGGAGGGTGGGGGAAGAAGCGGCAGCTAACGAACCACAGACACTACAAAGCGCAGTAAGAAAGAAAAATGTTGTGCAGAATACAAAAAACAAGAACAGACAACAGAAACGAAAAAAAAAGAACAAGAAGTGCAATGACGACGCCGTTGACCTGCGGGGCCTTTGATGCGAGTGAGAAAGAGAAGGAGATGGTCGTGGGAGAACGACCCGCGAAGTGGCGAGTGTGAGAGAGGGAGAGAAGAGGAGCGTCTGGGATCTCGGGACCCTCTGCTAAATTGAATGCTGCTGTTCCTCTTCTGCGCTACTTCTTCCTTCATTCCCCTCCCCATTCCTGCTCCGCGCGACAACAATAAAACTCTTGTGCAGATTTTGTTGTTCCTCGTTTTTCGCCCATTGTCTCCTTCAATAAAATGCGTCAAGTCAATTTCATTCACCAGCAGCTGCTGCTTTGGGGGTCGCTTCGCTGCTGACGCATCGTTGGCGTCGTCTGATAAAAAAAAAATTCAACAAAAAAAAAAAAACCCGGAGAAGCAATCCTCGCAGAATTCGACGAAATTCACTGGGGATTACAGTCGAATAGTTTAGGAAGTATATGAGGCACATGCCAGTACCCTACCTTCTTACTTGACTTGACTCAACTTGTCTTAGCTACCTCTCAAAACAAAACAATATAAAAACTCGAGATATGAAACTACATTCGTTTAAAAATAAACAAATAATAAGATTTATATGTTTGAAGAATTTAGAAAGACAACATTTATAAGACAACTTCTATGTCCAGAACTCTTAGAAACCATTGATGGTATTAATCGAATTAAAGACTTTTTGATATACTCTGTTTCGTTCACAATGATTAACAATAAATACTTATTAAGTTGGGCTAGGAAGAAAAAGATTTAATATCCAGATCATGTCAGTTTGGGACCATAACAGTTGCTCTTTGCCAATATCTACTGTAGCGTAATTTGCATCAAACCAAGGCAGTTGCGGTCGTGATGTTGGCGGGGCCTTTGCGATGAAATCGAGGATGCGAATGGAAGGAATGGAATGGTTGCTGTGGCATGAGGATTGGAATTGGGATCGGGACGGATATTTTATCTGCCAAGCGACGGCATTTTTAGAAGAGTGTGTATGTGTTGGATTTGTGTGCCTGTCGAGCAGGTAAAGGTAGTTTCTTTGTTCTGTTTTATGGCTTGCTCTTTGTGTTGGGCTTCTCTTTTATTTTTCGCTGCATTTGAGAACGTCTGTATCCTCGGCATAAAGTTGCGGTCAGAATATTGGGATCCAACCCATCTATTGATGCTCAAATTGTTGCAAGAGAACAAGTTGCATCAAAAGTATGCACAGTAGCACGCTTTGGCACAGCATAAATACATATAATTATAAAACGAGTTTCGCTCACATTAGTTTTTACATGCAGATCATTCAGCTTTTGATTTAAACTTGTGCATATTTTGCATTTTGACATAAGCACAATATTGTGCCCACCACTGTTGTCAGTGGGTGTGTGTGTCATGGTAATTGCCTTTGTTTTTGCTGCCGCTATTACTGCTTTTGGTACCATTGAACTCTGCTGCAGTTGCAACCCCAAAAACATTCCGCAGGGGAATGCATGGAAGTTGAACACAGCCTTGTTTATTTTGCTGCACAACCAGAACGTACGCCCTGCCTCCTCTTACCCCATCTCTTTGTAGTTGTTTTTGCTGGTTCCTTATGCATTTTTTGCGGAATTACAGTGGAAGCCCAATAAATCGTCTAAAATTCGAAAACAAATCTTTTTACAAGACACGGGAAGAAGTAAAGTACAGTGCAGTAAAGCGCACCATCGATGACTGGTTTTATGTTCATGCTGGCCAGGTTCCACTGTAGTTTTACGTACATGCAGCACCCCCTATTTTCTCCCACATACCAATCAAGAATTTGGCTTGAACTTGGTGCTGCGCGCTCTTGTTCCCGATCATTATTTTTTCCATAATCATCGTCATCAGCAGCACATCGCAATGCCTCGCTTTGTTTTCTTTCCAGTTCTTCTGAGCCATGAAATTTATAATCTTGTACAAATTGTTTTGCATTAGTAATGCCTGTGCGCAGTTTGTTCCACTTCTCACATGGGGTAACCACGTCGGTTCTTTTGCTCCGCTTCGCTTTGCTCCCTTTCTTGTATTCTTATTCTTTCTTCCGACGTCCGCCATCCGCTGTTCCTCGATTCTTCTTCTTTTCTCGTGCTTAATTATGGTGGGAGGAGGGCGAAAGGGGGGTTCGGGCACGCCCTCAGTGCACTGCACTCGCATTTCTGATTATTAGCCCGCTCTATTTTTAAACACTTTTACAAGCGGTCTGGAATTTGTCCGTACACCCCTTCTACCCTTCCCAAAAAATACTGCTAAGTAAAACATATGGCACAGACATTGAGCTCCACTCCCTCTTCTCGAAAAGGGGAGGCGATTCCATTCAATTCTTCTGATGGGCCCGTGGCCCAATGATATTAATCTTGTCATGATATACAATCCCAACTGTCAGTTTGATTAGTCCCGAACCGCTTCACCACTCTTCCGTCTGTTCTCCGTCAACTATCTTCCAAATTTGCTAATCTAATCGATAGACAACTCGTTCATTATCAATTCCCCTCGCTCCCCCCGCCAAGGAATACTCTCTAATTGAGAGTATTGCACTTTTGTCAAGGAATGTATTGGTTTTCATGTACAGCAAGTATTTTAGATGCCTAACTAAATATAGTAGGCTTGTTATAAAGATTACTTATTAGTCAATACTTATCTTATTCAATGGAACTAGAAATAAAATAATGGGTTAATATAATGGCATAAAGTAGTGTAATGTGAATTCTTAGCTATAAGGGTATTTTCGTGGTTCACAAAGAAAACGCAGGTCTATGTTTTGTTTCCACTTTGAACGGTGACGTTTTGGTGCTATTCTTGTATTTATTAACTAATTTGATCAAATTGCCGGTGGTATACAATTTATGAGTCAGGTTTTGTGTATTGCTACGCTTATGTGTTTGTGTATGTGTGTGTACTTCAGGTGTGAGTGAGTTATCGATACCTTTTGAAGATCACCGCTTGATTTTTGTTGCCCTCCCTCATTTTCCGCGATTCGCAACAGTTCGTAATGTTGCAGAAAGCAACATTAAAATGCCGCTATTTTACACGTGTAAAGATGTAATTTTTAAACGTGTGTGTGTGCGAATTTATGTGCCTGTCGTCTGGCTATTTTCCTCTCATCTTTTCCGCTCTCCGCCCTCTTACGACGCCTTACTGCCGCCTTTGCCTGTATACAGAATTTTTCGCTATGCAGTTATGTTGATGAGATGTGAATGCGATGATGCTGCTGCAACGTCATTTCTAGCATAGTTGTCTCCTCTCTTCCTCTCGAAAGTTCTGCGGCAACATAGAACAGAGAAATGCAGAGTGAAAGGTTGGGGAAAAGAAGAAGGAGAGGGCGAGAGGCTGGCGGCCGAGAGAACGTTTTGTTGCTAGTGCTTTTGGATGCGGTCGTTGCCCAAATTGGAAAAAAACATGCGCAGAGCATACACTGAAACGAAATTTGTTATGTTATAAATGAAAAGTAATATATTATTTAGCGGATAGGACATTTTGATTTTTAAAAACCTGACAAAACATATATGTATGCCAAAAAATAGAAGTGATTAAACAAATTTTTAAGAATAATCATTTATCTTTCATAATGTAAACTTTGCTTAACTTGTGGAATTGCGAAGTATGTTCCTTTTTTGTTGTGTGTATTTATCGTTTATCGCTTCCTGCTTTTGTTGCGCGTCTCTCTTGACGATTCTCTTTCTCTGCGCTGCTCTCTCCATGCTCTCTTTAGTTCTCTCACGCAACCTGTAGCGCGCGCAAAAAAAATGATTTTTGCCGAGGAAAATTGTTGCTCTTTCGGGGGGAAGTTTCCTCTTTTTATTTATTTTGTTGTGGGTGACTCGCCGCCATATTGTTTTAGGGGTTGCTAAAACATAAACGAGAGGGGGTAGTGATGTGTGCAGTTGTATTGTTGCTTTTGCAGCCGGCATTCAACAGTTCGGCAAAAAGAGCGCTCTTTTTGGGACTCGTCCCGCGCTGGTCGCTCTCTTAGTAAATGTAAATAGGATGTATTGATTTTTCCCGGGTTTTCCGCCAGTTTGTTTCTCTGTCTTTCTGGAAGTTGCTCGGTTAAAAGGCAGACACCAAATTCTCAGACTGTGGAGTGTGGCATTGCATTGCATGGCTGCAGTTTGGTGCGGAGTAGTTGTTGTTTTTGGGAGCTGGAAAATCCCCAGGACATCTGCCGCTCTCCGCCGCTCCGCTGCCGCAGCCACTGCCGGCGTCGCTGCTTTTGCGGGGACCTGAGCTTTACCCGGGTCGCTGCATTATGCGCAGAGTTAGTTTTGCAGGGAGCCGCGTAGCATTCACGTCACGCAATTTGTACATAACTAGCGAAGTTTTTAACATTACTTTAGTTTGCAGTGTCCTTGCCGCGCACGACGTCACTGTAATGCATAAAATAAACCAAAAAAAGACTGAAGTAACCTTGCATTCAATTATCCTTCCTAATAACCATTTTGTTCTCTTTTCTCATTGCAGCCTTTTGTGCGCGCGACGCAATTATCTGACAGCACTTGAAAGTATGCTACACAAATTTGTTTCAACTTGTTACTGCAACAACAACAACCAAAACAACGGCAACCATCCCACGCAATTTATTATATAGACTGCGTAGCAAGCAAGAGCGAGAAAGCAACACGGCAACCAGCAGTGAGAAGCAACAACAACAACAAGAAATCAGGAAACCAGGAAGCAAACTGGAATATATAGAAAATTCTACAACAAAATACAGCAACAAAGAAGCAAAGGTAAGTCGGCTTATCTCCGTTTAACGAGTTTTACGTTTAGTTTTCGTTGTTCCGCAGTTTTTCCCTTGCCGGGGAAATTCACCGGTAAATATAGCTATTTACCACCATATATGGTAAAGGTATTCAGATTAGGCGGTTACTGAACAGTTCAAATAGTTAAGCATTTCTAGAAAATTGCTGAGCTTAGTGAAATAATTTTGCACAGAATGTTTGAGCTACAAGTAAATGTTTTTATTTTTGTAAATTATACTGTGCGCGATTGGTTTATATTCCTCTAACGGACTCCTAATGTTTTCATTTTATTTTAAACAAACTTACTATTCAATTCCTATAAAGGGATTAGCATATGTAACTACAGCTAGAGGAATATTTTAGGCAACCCAATCAACCTGCAAGTCAAACAAATGAACATCCTTCACAACGAAAAAGTGAATAGTTGTGGAGCTACAAGGACTTTCTAGGGAGCACTGGAAGAGGCATTAGGTGTGGGTGTATGTGCATGATAAATGTACATCCAGTCTAGACAGTTGCAGTCACCCTTCCCTTCCCATCCCTCCGACATACAAAATTCCCCCCTCGGGCGCATTTTTCGGGGTTGATTTTGAGTTTCGTTTCGTATCGCTGGCTCTCTTTGCTTTCACTTGGATTGCCTTTATGTTGGGTTTCTTGTTGACGGAAGTTTCGACTGGTCTGGAAATCTAGAGAAGTTTCTCCGGGGCTCCACAGTTTTCCTTATTTTTTGTTTACTTTCCTGCGACGGGGGTTTGTTGCGGAACTCCCCCCGTTCGTTATCCCTGCTTTTACTGCTGACTTCTACACAACTCCAGATTCGGCGTCCCTCTCGAAGGCAACGAACCGCGAAGGCAGCGAAAAGGGGAAGTAAAATTATGATTACGGGGTGTCCTGTCCGTCTGATGTGCGTGCGTTTATTGCATTTGTGTCCGTCTCAGCGCAAGGATAAAGGTTGGGGGGTGGTAGATGTAGAAGGGCAGCGATTTCCTCCCCGGTCAAAGTCCTTTCATCCAGGCGTACAGCTTCACTTTCAGCCCCGCTTCTCCACTCTGCCGTAGGAAATTGGAATTGTGCTTAAAAGCATTCCGTGGGGGCGCGAGCCTTAGTTTGATTCGATTCAGTGTGTTGGGCTGGGGAAATAGTAATGCCAGGGGAAAACGCAAGCCACATACCTTTCAACTGTCTTCGAAGATGTTTAATAAAACACGGTTCACAGCTGTCTCGCTTTGGGGGATTAGACGGAACCGGCTGGTTGGAAGGAGGCAATTAACTACAAATTATGATAACAAAGGGGATGACTAAGGAAAAGGGGCCGTTGCTTGTGGGTGTGGCATATTTGTTTGTTTGGAGGGGCCATGGAAATGCCAAAACGTTTGGGTTCAAGTGGAGGAATTGCTGACTCACAAGGATAAACGACAAGGACCGCAGGTGACTCATGGGTCATTCGATTTGAGCGGTGGAAGTGGGGAGGAGTAGGCAAAAAAAATAAGCGTGGTTGGCACAGACAGTACTGAAACCAATGCTAAGATTATTCACCTTTATTGTGGGGAAACTTCGATTAAAACAAACGCAGTGTTTTCGATAGATGTATTTGATCTTAAAGATCTTAACTATCTACCACCATGTTTAATTAAACCCTCCGCCTGCTCTTTCTCCTTGCAGCTGTTACTCCTAAAGGTAAACGGAGCCACCGACGGCACTTACAGCACAAAGATGGCGTCCTCACCGACACCATCTCTGGACTCGATGCGGGGCGGGGCGAACTCCATCGAATCGTACGAACACGCCGGCTATCTATCAGACTCTCCGCTCACGTTGAGCGGTTCATCGCCACCGGCCAGCGATTCGGCAATCTGCAGTGATGAGTACACGGGCGGCAGCAGCGTAAAGTCACGCTCTGAGGTGACGGTAATCAATGGCCATCACCCCATTTCGGCCTCCGTGTCGTCCAGCTCTTCGGCCAGTTCGTCCTCCTGCTCGTCGTCATCGTCCTCATCCTCGTCTTCGTCATCGTCCAGCTCCTCGACCAGCGGCCTCAGCGGTTGCGGCAGTACCAGCAGCAGTGTGATCAGCGCCAACAATGTTGCGAGCAGCAATGGACCAGGCGTTATCGGCAGTAATCTTCAGTCCTCAAACAATGGCGGCAACTCGGGCATCAGCAGTCTGGTCGTGGGAGCCGGCAAGGGAAGCAACAGCAGCAGCAACAGCTCCTCGAGCAACACATCCGCCAATGGATCTCCGCCACGTTGCACCGCCTGCAAGAGCAAGTGCAGCGACGCGGTGGCCAAGTGCTTCGATTGCCAGAGCTATCTGTGCGCCAATTGTGTAACTGCTCATGAGTTTATGCACTGCTTCAACGGACACAATGTGTGCCTGATAAAGGGTTTTGAAGCAAGCACCACTGGCACTCCGCTGTCCGTTGGATCGCCCAGCAACAATCCGGCATCGAATGAGTTCAAGTACTCCAGTTCGCTGACCATGATGCTGCAGCAGCAGCAGCAACAGCTCGACTCGCAACAACAGCAACAGCAGCAGCAACAATTGCTGCCGGCGCAGCCCATGTCGCAACTCTCGAAGATAGTACTGGCAGCCGCCGCTCAGGCAAATTCCCAGGAGCAACAGCGAGATGATAGCATCTATGGTTCACTGCACCCACAACAGCAACAACAACAACAGCAGCAGCAACAGCAGCAGCAGAGACAACTCTTCTGCCCCCGACACAAACAGGAGCTGCTCAAGTTCAGTTGCCGCACCTGCTGCATCCTGGTATGCAAGGAGTGCATTGTACTGGAGCACTCCACAGGTCTTCACGAACTGGAGAACGTGCAGTCACCCGGAATGACAACCTCTACGGGATCCACGGCCAACGAGACAGCTTTGCAGACTCTGCTCGCCGATATGCGTGGCAAAATTGGCGAGATTGTCGGCATTGCTGGAAACTCGGACCAGACTCTAACCAAGGTGAAGCTGCAGTACCAAAAGGCTCACAACGAGTTGAACGAGACGCACCAGTTCTTCGCTTCCATGCTGGATGAGCGCAAGACAGAACTGCTTAAGGAACTGGAAACGCTGTACACGGCCAAGGTTAACAGCAACAATTCGTGGCAGCAACGCTCCCGCGACTTGATCGACAAGGGACTGGCCACCTGTGAGGCGGTAGAGCGGAGTCCTGCTCCGCCATCCTCCTTGCTGGCAGAGGCCCTTCTCCTGCGCAAATCCCTGGAGCAGCAACTACAGACGGGCATTCAGGAGATGCAGCTACCCTTCGAGATAGAGTTTATGTCCAACTATCAGTCGATTCAGGCAGGCGTGCGCAACACCTTTGGTTACATTCGAGCAAACAGCTCAGACGGCGGACCTACTGGCATGAGCCTGACGAGCAATGGCCATGGAAAGCAGCCGCCAATTGCCCGGCCAACACAGAGCGCCAGCAATAGCAGCGCCAGCAGTGCGGGCAGTGGTCACCATGGTCACCACCAACAGTCACACCATCATGGCCACCACAATCATCAGCAGACGGCCCATCATCAACAGCTGCAGGCGCAATCATCCCTGCATGGCTTGGGTCTTGGATTGAGCGGCGCCAGTTTGTTGGATAGCAGCTCTGGCGCAGGTGGAGCAGTGGGAGCCTTCAGCAACGTAGGACTTCTGCTCAGCGGTCGCGATCGCAACGCCCTGGCAGTGGAACAGCATTTCGGCGAGCTGATGCCCAAGCGAGGAGGAGGTGGCTACACCGGCAGCAATGGTTCCTCCACCAGTGCCGTGGCCCACTACAATCCCTACGAGAAGTGGAGCAACGGCGGTAGCGACAATCTCTTTTCATCGGTGACAAGCGGCGTGTCCGGCAGCTCTGCAGTGGCCGATGCGTTTGCCAGCCTGTCTGCTGTTGGAGGATCCGTGGTCAGTGGCGCTGGAGCCGGCGGAAGTACCGTGAGCTCAGAATCGCTGCTGGACCTTACCAACAAACTGCTTTCGGCCACTATCTATCCGCCCAAGTCGCAGATCAAGCGCCAGAAGATGATTTACCACTGCAAGTTTGGCGAATTCGGCGTGATGGAGGGCCAGTTCACAGAACCCAGTGGTGTGGCGGTAAATGCCCAAAATGACATCATTGTGGCGGATACGAACAACCACCGCATTCAGATCTTCGACAAGGAGGGACGCTTTAAGTTCCAGTTTGGCGAGTGCGGCAAGCGTGACTCGCAGCTGCTGTATCCGAACCGCGTGGCCGTGGTGCGCAATTCCGGCGATATCATTGTCACCGAGCGCTCGCCCACGCACCAGATTCAGATATACAACCAGTACGGCCAGTTTGTGAGGAAGTTCGGGGCCACTATTCTGCAGCATCCTCGCGGCGTGACCGTGGACAACAAGGGACGAATCATTGTGGTGGAGTGCAAGGTGATGCGTGTGATCATCTTTGATCAGAACGGCAATGTGCTGCACAAGTTCGGGTGCTCTAAGCATCTCGAGTTCCCCAACGGCGTGGTGGTCAACGACAAGCAGGAGATCTTCATCAGCGACAATCGGGCGCACTGCGTCAAGGTGTTCAACTACGAGGGCCAGTATCTGCGGCAGATTGGCGGCGAGGGAATTACCAACTATCCAATTGGCGTCGGGATCAACTCGAACGGGGAGATCCTCATCGCGGACAACCACAACAACTTCAATCTGACGATCTTCACGCAGGACGGGCAGCTGATCTCGGCGCTCGAGTCAAAGGTGAAGCACGCCCAGTGCTTCGATGTGGCGCTCATGGACGACGGCAGTGTGGTGCTGGCCAGCAAGGACTATCGGCTCTACATATATCGCTATGTCCAACTGGCGCCAGTGGGTATGTAAACACACAGACACACACTCCATGGATGTGAGTCCGGAAAGGATGAGGATCTGTGGTCCGGCTCTCACTACTTCTATAGGCTAAGTTCTCAATAGTCTGACTTGCGCGGTCTATCCAGCTCTAATTCTAAATCTACACAATCGAAGTTGAAATCGAAATCTATAAGCCCCTATCTCCCCCGATCTGTCATCTCTCATAGCCTTAGACTTTGCTCGCTATGTAATAACACACACGCACACTGTTGGAATGATTTTTATTATCTTTTAAATTATTGTTGAATTTTGTTTTATTTTTTATATATATTTACACTGTTAAGCTTAGTTTTTATTTTGTGCGTACTTGTTTATGATAAATATATATATTGTGTATTCATGTTCATGTTCAAATCGGATAGTGTCGCCGCCTCTCTATATCTTTGCACACTTCTCACTTCAAACCCTCCTATCTCGCGTGCAAGTCATCTCTTATTCGCTTTGGCTGTCGATTAGAAGCGCACCAAACAAAAGCAAGCAAAAACACCAGAAACAAACAAAAAAATGACACTTTTAACTATATAAATACCAGAAGAAATCCCTCCACTTTTTTCTGTTCGTTGCCAACAGCAAACAAAAACAAAAAAAAGAAAAAATTTAGGAAAAAAAAAGAAGTTGATATAAAATAAACTTAACAAATAACCGCCTATGAAATGTCGAAAAGAAATGAAGCCGCGTATCGAGCATTAATTAATTAATAATTGATTGTAATTCTTAGATATATGATTGCGCAAATTGTTTGTTATTATTATTTTTGATTGCATAAACATTTGATACATTATATATTATATAACTGTTTTTTACGTTTATAAATTATTTTTGATTATACCACTTATTGATTACTGATTATTTATATGTATACATTAATTAATTACCTTCTAAGACATGTTTGCTACTTCTATACGAAATCAACCGAACCCAAAACCGAACCGCGACACAAACAACAATTCACAATTTTTATACTCGCTTAGAATTTATGTTTTTCATTGTTTTATTGTACACACGACAGAGGAAAAGAAGATGGAATGCCCCTAATAATAATGCAGACAAAAACCCATTTCCGTTTCTTTAATTTAAACAAAAACAGAAACAACTAAACGCACTGAAAATAGTTAAAATTTTTGTTCTTGATTGTTGAACTATTTTTTGTTTAGGCATTTATTTTTTTAAAGTAATTTCTTTGTTCGAAAGCAACACGGACGAATTTGTTGTTTTACCCCAAAATATATTACTATATTATACGCAAAAATTATTTGTTGTCAAATTGAATTTAAATAAACATTGAAACGTGTATATCAAACAAAACAAGGCGATATTTATGTACACCAAGCAAATACCCCTCCCCCCTCGCAGTTAGTGGTAACTTGGAGTGCGAAGTCGAATTATCTTAAGGGTGTGCATAGATCTAATTGAGTATTTAAAAGTAACATTTAACTAAAAGTTGGCAATCAGCGCAGAAGACTTGAAACATTTATAACTATTATAATTATACAATTAAATATGTCTATTAATATACGATAAACACTTAAATCAGTAAATCAAAAATCTCAAATAATTTAATAGTTATAAAGAAGAAACCGCGAATAGGGAATAGGGATTACCCAGCCAAGCCAGACCAATCGCTAATTTATGTTTACTTCCTTGACAGAAATAGGGACTAAATACAAAAGCCACACAGTGCGCAACAATCAGGATCCAATAGGTTGTTCAGACATTCGAAGGATATTTCGAAGGATAGTTCAATTGGACATTCACGTATCCTTGCTCTGTTACGCACTGTATGCACATCGACTTATACTTGCAATGATTTAGTTAAAGCATTTACTACTTGTATGGGCATATGCCTCAAATGATTGCAGAGCTAACAAAAGTGTTCTTTAGGGGTTAGTTAAAAGGAAGTTAGGTCGTTAGATATTTAAAGTGAATTACTATTAAGGCAAGGAAACACAACTTTTTGAGACTACAAACGCAACATTAACAGGAACAGCATTTAAAAAATGTTTATTTTGTAATTTTAAAAGTAATCACTATGTATTTTTGTTGGTTTTGCTTGGAACGCAATGCGACGCGACGCGAACCCCGCCCCTTGAACCCATGTCGTCCCCATTGACACGCCCACACATAAGCAGGTATTAGATTTCTTGAGTATAATTTAACATTATTGTATTAAACACGTAGTATTTAAATAAATTAGTTGCCCGTTCCCTTGTTTGTTTTGAAAAAACTCTTTGTTCTGTGTAATTTCTGACTTGCTTGACCTATTATTTGAATTATTTGATAATTACCTATGTTTTGTGTGTATTTACTTAAGTGAGATTATTAAATATACAAAAATATATTTTTTAGTTCTTTCTTGTTGTAATCTTAATTGACTTTAATTGAACTATTGTATTGAATTGAAGATAATGTATCGATGTAATGGTAGCTGTAATAACGATGAAGGGTTTAACAAAGTATTGTACGTTTTCTGTGTGAGAAACACTTTTTACTTGACAGCCAAAAAAAAAAAGCAAACTAAAAAATACACAAAAACTGTTGAAATTTTTTTTATATACAAATTGTTGAAAATAAATCTTAAACTAAAACCTAAAACACATAAGATACTGCAAATTGATGGTATTTATTACGGCCTAATGCGTACTATTTAATTGTATTTATTATTAGCATTTTAGCGTGCACAAGCAGTTTCTGAAAAAGAAGTTTTATTTGTATTTTGTGCTTGCATAACTTTGTTTTTATGTTTATCAACTATTATTATTATTACATTTTTAAATGTTATACAAAAAACGAACTACAAACACACAACATGGGACACAACACACATGATTACGACTATTATAATAATAACAAACTATAAACAATAGACAGCATACATCTGCTCCACGAAAATGTTGTAAAAGCCCACACAAAACACAACCCAACAAATGCCACAAAAACCAACTGAAAAACCATTAAAGATTTTATACCTATTCTGACAAAAAGAACCAACAAACTGTTTGCTTTATTTTACTTTCATTTGATTTGAATATTTTCCCTTATTTTCTTAGCATTTCTAGCTTAGCATTGGTTATATTTTGATCTGAACAGATGCGATGTTGTTAACCCCCTAAGGCCGACTTTCCTTTCCTTGCCTTTCCTTTCCTTTCATTTCCTGCCCCCGACCCCCTGAGATCTATATATATAGTAGTGGTAAACTATTTAATCTTTATATGAATATATATGTGAATGTATGTTGATAAACAAATTGATGAATTGAGAATCTAATAGACTGTGCAACCACAAAAATGGAAAACCGATAAAAGTTTTTTAAATATATATATTTCTATATATTTAAATCTCGGGTAAGGAGCAACAACACAACTCTGTGGAATGTGTAAAAACAAAAATTATTTATATATACATACCTATAAGATACAGTGTGCAACCATAGCACAGTGAGCTATCAAAAGTAACTATACTAGCAGTTTTATTTCCGATACTCCAGATCGATATGATATGTAAACCATTTATACCGCCAATTAACTGTGCTCTAACCCTCTATGTAACCAAACTGGGCGTTAAGTGCCCCCTGACACTTGCTTTGGTATCTCGCTCTATATATATATATAAATTTATAAATTTATGTATGTTAACATTGCCGATATAGTATATGTAGTTGGGCATTCTGCGTGTGTCGCCATTTGTGATTAGTTTTTTGGGCCAAAGTCTCGAGTCACCAAAGAAAATAAACGAAGGAAACAGGACGCCAAAAATGTAAGGAAAATTCTGAAATGGAAATTCAAAAGTAAAGTAACTCCACCATTTGAGTAGTGCTAAGTGTAAGTGTTGTTTAATAAATGGCAATGCATGCTGGTGCCGAAGTGCGGCCGCCACATACGCGTATTACATATACTCGTAATCGTATTATGGCTACTATTATTTTTGTGATTGTTAGGAGCTCTCTATGAATGTTGAACGGAATCGAATCGGATCGGATCGGATCGAAGCGAAATCGAAGCGAAATCGAATCGAATCGAATCGGGATCGGTCCATCTACGGATCGATCTCACTCTCTTTTTGGGGTTGGTTAGGAAAGAGGAGACTGTCGGCACAAGTTACGCAGAACAGAACTAGATGTTAGGATGTACGGATAAGTACGAGCATATTGGTGTTTGTATGTCATATCTGAGGAATCATTTTAATTGTAGTTTATATTTTTGATAAATGTTATTAAGGAACGGAACAAAACGTAAATCAAAGTCATTTGTCTGCATTGTTGAGCATGTTTGTATGGAATTTAAATTTTGTACAAGTTCTAGTAGATGATCGGCAGCAGTTCGGATTCGAAAGCGATAGCGAAATGGCAAAACAGCAGCAGACTACGAGTATAATGAATGGAACCCAAATCCAAAAGTAAATTAAAATTCAAACTGGCTTCGTAGAAGTGTTTTTAAGTATTATTAGTATATGCATTAGATTACGAAAGCTCTGAACGAAATGCTTAAACCACTAAATTATTAACAACATACCATATAGATATATGCAGCTAATTGAATAACCATTGAGTGTGTGTGTATACTTTTAGTCCAGCACCCAACGTAAAACAATCCCAGATCAGAGTTACCCTTTCAAACAGATCTGGAATCGTTTTTCGCTAGTGCCTGGACCTTTTCAATAAGTAGGACTTCAATTCTGATATTCCGTCAAATGTTTTAAGTGGATAGTAGGCAAGAGATACGGGAAACCAAATATATTTAATATGCATGCTTGAGTAGTGTCTGTTTGAATGTCTGTAATTTGTACGTAACTCAACGTAGCATTAATGACAAATGATCGGTTCATTGCCCCATTAGTTCCCCTATTTTCGCATTAGATGTAGGCTATCCCTACGATTAAGTAGAATAGAAATTGAGGAACAATATCGATTCATTGGATTACTTATTTAGACCTTTTTAGCGCTTGGTCAAGAACTTCACCGAACATTCAAGTAGCAATCCAAACCAACATAACAACTAACATAAACATAAATGATAAATACCAAACAAAATAATTAACTATGACTGATTTTATACACGAATTGAAAGGATTTACACAACAAATTATACACATATACATACATATATATGAATATTTATATTTATAATGTTGCTACTATATAAAATTATAAAATAAAACAAGTTGACGTTGAAGCCCCGGATTAAGTCCAGGACCTCTCCATCTGTAATACATTTTACACTTTAGGCTACTTAACGCTACATTCTTGTATATCTACGAGTATAAAAACTATATTTATGTGTGTGTTTAAAGGCTTGAAAACAAGCCACTTAGTAGTGAACTCAACAGTTTTTTAACACTCGAAAACAACAAAATCTTAGACTGCTTCAAAAACGTAAACGTGAAAAATATGAAAATATGAAAAACTCTTGTGAAATAAAATGAACATAAGACTCGTTTAGGGAATTTTTCTGAACAGATTTTCCGTTTCCTTCCGCTTTTTTTTCTCCCTATGCACTTGTTTAAACTGAGAAACTATAACTTAATTGACTTAAAGCCGAATGCGGATTTTCACTCTCGATGAACTAAAAACCGAATCTCGAAACGCGCAAGACAAACAAGGACAAGGAAAATGAATATTTTCGCTAATTTTTCTAGCTGCAAATAAAATATTTATATACATCCGTGAATATAATCTATAATAATAATGCATATACGCAAAGTAAGGCATATTAACTGTTTGTTGTTAGCTGCTTATTCTTCCTATTGAAGATTACGAAAAATAAAAACTACAAAAAAAAAAAAAAACAAATTCATATCCCAAGCATTTTTGTAATTTTTAACGAAAAACGACATATTGAAAACAAACTCTAAAAATACGCAAAAAAACAACTAAAGCATAATTTTTAAGCCGATCATTTTAAGAAAAAGTTTATCTAACTTTAAATGTGAACCAAATGGGCAATGTATAATGCAATAACTAAATAGGAAGCTTAAAAATACTTCTGTTTATCACACTTTTTTTGAAAGGTGACGGAACTGCGTTGGTGACCTTTAAACTTTAAAAATTTATTTTGATTTCGCGTTGTAATTACATTTCCATCCAATTTAAGATTACAATTTTTCAATTCCTTCATGAAACCATTTGATTTATTTAATTTTTGATTTTATTTCTTGCAGTATTGCACAAATTGCACAGCAACATCAATGAAACCAGCAAGAGCTACTTGGCAGACAGAATACAGCAACATTTCATTTGAAATAGAAAAGCAAGAGAATCGAAATATTTTTAATAACCAAACATTCCCCAGAAATTGTGTTATGTTGAATTTGTTGTTGAAGAAAGGAAGATGTAATGTAATGCCGATGCATGGACAAGTTTACGTTACGCAATTATTTTAAATAAATTTTGGGACTCAAAAATTATATTAATATTAATGTATTTGCAATTAGTGTAAATGAGTCTCTACGGTCGAACCGCACACAAAGAATTCACACAGACAAGAATCAACGTTGCTAAATCATTGAAATATGCATAAATGTTAGCTCATCTTAATCATAATCAATCATTCAGCATAGATTTTAATATTTATAACGCTATATAGTGCAACTAAGCCGATCATGGTATCATCATCTAGTCATCATGCATACATATATGTATTTTTATAATTAATTATTATTAATATTAAATAAAAAAACAAAAATGAAACAGAAAAACAAAAACAAAAACAAATACAAAAGGAAAAGGAACACCAATCTAATGTTAAATGTCGTTATAATTAAGTTTTCTTTGTATACACATATATATTATGTTTAGCTAACGATTTATCAATTTTCCGTGTAAGGATTGATTTTTATGTCTCCCCCAATTTGAATTTCTCGCTAAAGCCAAGTTGAATTTGAACATACACAAAAAAAAAAAAAAAACAAGTGAATTCTATATACAGGGTGTTGCTTAAATGGCTTTCATATACTACGTTGTCATATGAAACTAAGACATTTTATCAGCTAAAGTAATATGTTTTCTTTATGGTTAATTGTTTACTCTGTACGTTCAGTTACAAATCGTATATTTCGCTCAAATTTTGTTTTACACGTAAGAGATACAAAATAAAAACGAAAAAACGAAAAATGTTAAAGCAAGTGACAAGAAAAAGTGGAAAATATGGACTGACAAGCAAATAATGTATATCATTGAGGGTTGGCATTTTTATTCAATACTTATAAATATAAATCTATATTACATGTAGACTTTGTCAGGCAGGCCATTCTCAGCTGTTTCGAACGAGGAAATTGTTAACTTTTTGCGTTGAAATGAAAAGGAAAATAAAAAGAAATATATACACGCCCACCAAATGCATACTATATGCCATATACTGTTTCTAACATGCATACAAAGATTTAACCACAGTACAGAGCAATTACAATTCGGTTTAAGTTTGTAACTGACTTAACTTAACTTACTGCCAGGATCAGCTCAGCTCGGCTCCTCAGATACAGATACAGATACAGATACAGATACCCTGCATGATACTCACTCAGCCAGTCACTCAATCAATCATCAATCAGTCATCATCTGTCATTCACCACTAGACACTAATCCATCATTCCCGCAAATCCAGCACAATTAAATGTAATAAGCCCATAAACCAAGAAACTTTTTTGAGAAAACGAAACCGAAAAGCATTTAACTTGAATCTTCTACACTTTTGAGCACAACCAATTGTTTTTTTAATTATATTTAAACTCGACAAGAAAAAAATAAAAGTGTAATCATAATCGTAACTAAATTGAATACGATGTAATTGAATGTGAACGTTATTAACTCATTAACTATTATTATTACCTAAGATTCCAACTGTATGCGCATTTTATATATATACCTATATATAAAACATTAAGGCAAACCCAAAATAACAACTCATTAATGTAATGTGTAAGAGAAACAAAAAGTACTTACAGTAAATTATATATGAATATTTTTATACATGTGGGAAAACGTAAAACAGAGAACGAATCATAATTTATTAAATGCTGAAATTTGCTAGAGTGGCGAGTTCGGGAACACCTATTTGAATTTGATATGACAGATTTTAAACTGTGCTCAAAAATCCAATGGCAAAGTAAACAGCGTCAGCGAGAACTTGAAATATAATAAAAGAAGGAAATAAAAGTCTTTTTAATGCTTAGGGGCCACAATTTTCGAAGTAATTAAAAAACGAAAAACATGAAATTATTATTATATTAAAATACGGTATTAATTAACATTTAAAAAATGTTGTGTAACATTAATATTAAACCAACCAACAAGAACAACCAGCAACAACAATTGTATTGTAAGAATTTCTATTTCCATTAAACAACAATAAAATTATTTTGTTTTTAAATAACTCAGATGCCTTTTATTATTCGACTACGGTCTACAGCAGAAAGTGTGTTTTGTCAAGTTTTTGCTACTTGTCAAGAAAAAAGGCCAATTACTCGTGTAACTAAAGGCTCTCCTATTAAATATATGTATTTAGATATACGTTTGGAAAATTGGAGATTGCACATTCCCATCTAATGCCATCTTAAGGGTAAGAGATAATCGTTAAGTGATGCTAAAGCTGGTTTCCTGCTGAAAGCATCCACTCTATGCTGTTCCTTTTGGTAGCTTTTGAGTCCTGAAAATAAAGCATTTTATATAATCCGATAATCTAGTTTTTCTTAATGTCAACTCACATAACGCGAAGTTCCTCCAGCGTGGGAACATTGAGGCGAGAGGGCAGCCGTGCTCCATCCTCCTGCTCAACTTCCTGCGGGTGTTTCTTGAGCTTGTGCGACCGGCAATTGGCATTGCAGGCAAAGGACTTGTCGCAGTAGTTGCAAACGTACGGTCGCAGCCCCGTGTGGCTCAGCAGGTGGGTCTTGAGCGTCTTCGAGCGCTTGAAGAGAGCCCCGCAGACATCACACTTCAAGCGCCGCTCCTCGGTGTGCACGACCTTATGCATGTTCCAGGTGCGTCGTGTCTGCATCTTCTTGCCGCAAATGTTGCACACGAAACTGGGCTCCGCATGGATTTGGTAGTGGGCCTTCAGCCGGGCGCGGTTCTTAAAGCCCGCCTTGCAGACGGTGCACTCGAAGGGACGACTTTCCGTGTGAACCAGCTTGTGTTCATTCAGTGCTGTAATTGTCTTCAGTTGCTTGCCGCAACTATCGCAGATATATGGCTTGACATTCTGGTGGATACCCTCTTTGTGGAGCTTCAGCGCCGTGGCAGAGGATAGAGTTTTGTTGCAAATATCACAGGTTGTAGTTGTTTTGTCCACTTTCACACGCCGCTCGATCCTGCGGCACTCGCGTTCCAAGTGTTTCTCATACGAGGCGCGGTTTCTGTAGACCTTGCCACATTTCTCGCAGTCCATGCGACCCCGTTTGGCCTTCTCCTCCGCAGTTGACTCCAGGGCATTTGGCGTGGTTGTCACAGCGAGATATTTTCGCTGGCGATCTACAGACAGCAATTCGGCATCTTCATCACAGCTGTCAAGCATTTCCGACTTAACATCATTCTCGAATGAAACCGGAGAGATGGTGCTGTCGACGCGAGATTGCGATAGTTCCTCTTGAGACAGTTCGTCTAGCACATCCTCCATATCTAGTTGACTTGTGTTCTTTTCCAACAGAATGGGGCCTGTGTCGATAAACTCCTGCTTAGGTATCTCCATTCCCAGTATCTTTTTGGCTTGAATTAAGTGGGAATTCGCCTGCCGCTCTGATATTTCGATTTCTTGGTTGTTTGTTCCCGGCACAGGAAACTCTGGTAATATTTTGGCGGGCTTTTGATGAACAGTATCGGAGTCCAAGCCCGTTTCCATTTCTAGAGCGGGAATGGGCTTGATAATGTGCGTCCAATCGTCCTCGCATAGCCCATACTGCTGACGCAGTGCAGCCACATCCAGTTGCTGGTCGTGATCCGTTTCTGTGCGTCGCAGGACCTCAAAGATGTCCTGCACTTTCGTCACATGCTCTGCAAAATCGATTAGTTCGCTGATGAGCGTATAGCACTCCGTGCACAGCACGCTGCTAAGCTCATCCTCCAGTCGCATCTGGAGCACAAATATTTAATATTATCTTTACAGAAGACTATTTGTTTTCTCCCAGTGACTTACTTGCACTTCGAAGTACTTGCGAATGGTCATTATCAGGACATTGTCCCAGGTTCCCTGGGAGTTCCCATTCAGCTGCACCTTCACATTGCCCTGAGCGTCGTCCTTGGCGCACAGGCGACACCAGTTCAGCCAGTGGCTGCCGTCCGTCATCTTGGCAGTGGAACCAGTGCTCTTTCTGGATTGCCTTATTGCCAAGAAATATCAGTTTAATTGTTTACTTTTAGTTCGGATTTGATTCTTGTTCGGTGCAGTGTGACCAGATACAATTTGTCGTGCTCACGCCACGGCAAATGCTTAATGGCATTTTCGCTTAACCCTTATGTTATACTCAACGCTCTGCCGGACCCATTCTTACAGCCCGCCGTTTTTAATAATTTGTTTTTCCATTGTACTGAATGAAAATGAACATATGCAAATATTGAATACTTCCATTCCATTTTTAGGTATACCTATAAAGCGTTCTCTTGTTTTAATTCTGGTTTTTCCAATAAGTAAGGTGTAAAAGAAATACAGACAACTAAATACAGAAATGAACCGATTATTTCAAAAATCTTGTTTTATTTCACATTAATTTTAGAGTTAATCAGCAACAGCACCTAGGGCTGCCGCAGCATCCCGGAATGCAGCTTCCTCGGCAACATGGCACTGCGGCAGTTCCAGTCCAGCAATTGAAACAAAAGTTGGTGCACTGGATGCAGGCGGGCAGATTGCAGCAGCCTCCAGGATTGCAGCACATCTTGGGCAGGATTGTTCGGATGCGAGTCAAAGGAAGGAAAGAAGAACCCACGAATTGACAATGATCACGGACACGCACTCACTGGGGAACTGAAACTGGAAAAGTGTGTAGAAAATGTGTTTGAATTGAGATTTAGGTGAATTTTGAAAATTCTTTCTTAAGTTACCACGGCAAAAATTTATCTCCAAAAGGTGTTGGTCATTGGGATTTTCAGTTATATTTTTGATGTGTTCAAACCGAGGCTCAGGGAAAGAATGAATATGATCCCTTCTAGATATTTGGTACTTCAAAAATGGTTGACAGATATAAATTCAAAAACTACTAGATCGACTTGAATATTTTGCCTTCGAATATCTTTATGTCAGAGAAGGAAAGCACGACTTTCTAACCTCTGTTGACGGACCGCGTAGTGACGAAACGCAGTGGGAAAATTTGCAGAGATCGGATGTCATTTGAATTCTCTATGTCAGAGAAGGAAAGCATGACTTTCGAACCTCTGCTGACGGAAGACCACGTAGTGACGAAGCGCACTGGGAGAATTTGTAAAGGAAATGAAAATCTCTCATAGTTGTCCGATCATAACCATTTAAATACAGTAAAGTAAAATACATCTTTTGAAAAGTTATCGACACAAGATAGTTACATTTATTATATTCGTTTATTAAGACATTAGGGTTTTAAGTACTATTGTTGGACGTGTTTCGGCACCGACTCCTCCCTATTTCAGCAACATCCCCTGGGGCCGCACGGCATAAAGGTGCATTGGATGTAAGCTGGGGTGCAGGGCACACAGCAGAGTTCCACGCAGCAGTTGTAGCAGCCGCCACACGGATCGCAGCATCGGGGTCCACAGGGTCCGCAGCACATGATCTGATAAATATAATAAGTGTAGTTAATTGAACATATAAATTGAAAATTTACGCTTACGATTTTATTTTGCCTTGGGAAAAGCGTTTAGGGTATCCTAATTTCCTTCTAAAAGGCCAACTAAATGGACTTTAAAAAGCCATATTCAATTCTTCTTTTTGCAATGTAAAATAAAAACTTACATTCAGCCTATTTACAGAAATAGGAACTCAGAAACAACAAAATAGGTACCGGAAAATGTTGGACAAAAACTATTTTCAAAGGTGTTAACACATCGAATTTTGGAAAACGAATGGGAAATCCATTTCGCTTAATCTGTTACGGAGAAATGTGAAGTGACATGAAAAATCGAGGCTTATATGACTGTAATAGTTTACACATTTGAAGATCAGAAAAAATAGTATTTTAATGCATTAAAATTCACATACCTTTTACTACAGTCACAATCTTTTCTATAAGAAAAAATAGTTCTAACACTTTTGGAAAATCCTCTAGTTTAGCGGGAAAGCATATATAAGTAGATACATTGCCTTACAAAGGGTAATGCGATGGAAACCTTTTTATTTCCTACACTGGTACCAAAATATAGTGAACATTATTGTTGATAAAAGTATTATTTAATATTGAACGTTGTATTATAAATTATTATCAATTAACCGGCTTTCGAAGCTTCGACGGCAGGACTCCACTGAGGATAATCGACCTGGGTGGCTGCCTCGTATTCCTGCACCAAACAGTCAACCGTGTTTCGTGCGATGTCCAGCTCCGTCAGGTCGTCCTTGAACATTGACTCGCGGCGAAAATTGTCGAGGAAGGCGTTGCGCTTCCTCAGCTTATCGTACTGGGCCAAGGCCCTCTTGAAAAGCGCACTGATTCCCGTGTGATTGGCCATCATCAATCCGGATACCTTGTGGGTCGACTGCACATAGGGCGAACTGCGCGGCAGAGCAACCTGAATGCTCGCCGGACCCCATGGTATGAAATTGGCCAGCTTTCGCTCGCGAATGCGCTGCAGCGACTTGTGCACCTGGGATGGATCCACCTCGCCCTGGATGATGTTCAGTATGGAGACGAAGCATTGGCGGCTCTGCTTGTCAGTCAAGGCGGAAACCATCATGTTCTTTGGCTGTAGAAGCCGACGCATCACATCCAGCACGGTGGTCTTTCGTACGCTTGTCTTGGTCTGAAAATGTTTATCTCTTTTTATTTGAACACCCACTAATGTGCAAAGAAACATCATATACCTCGCAGTCCGACATCAGCGGAGTATATCCCGTCATCAGGAAGTGCAGCTGAGGTGTGGGAATGAGGGAGGCGGTCAGACCGATGAGGTTGTTGTTCATGTACGAGGGATATCGCAGAGTGGTGGTGCTTAAACTCATGATGGTGGATACCAGATTGTTGATCTGCATAAAAGTGGGCGTCTGGATGTGCAGTCTTTCAGTGGCGATGCGGTTCAGTGCGGTATTATCCAGGACCACCACACTATCAGCGCACTTGGTCAACCGCTTTAGGGTAAGGATCGAGTTGTATGGCTGGACAACCACGTCGCTGATCTCGTCTTGATTGGGAAAAACACTGTACGTCTGTATGAGCTTCTTGGGAAAGCGTTCGGACAGCCGTTCCAGAACATATGATCCCATTCCGGATCCTGTTCCGCCGGCTATGGAGTGGCACAACACGAATCCCTCCAGCGAATCGCTGCCTTCGGCCTCGCGGTCCAGGATGTCGAACACCTCCTCCTGCACCTTCTCACCCTGGCTGAAGCCGGAGGCCCAGTTGTTTCCTGCTCCACCGCCGTGCTTGGAGAGAAACACATTCTCCTGGTTATACAACTGGAGGAGGAACAGCCATGCATAAAAAATATTCAAATAAAATATATAAGACATTTGTATTCCCAAAATTTTGTAAATTTCATGAAATTAAACTAAGCTGTTAAATTAACGGTTTTATATGGTTACCAATGCAAGGCAAACATTCTGATTACTTAAATGCAAGTAAATATGAGTATTTTATAAATTCCAAGACAAAAGCTAATTATTTCCATTGCACTTCAGGCTATTTTAAATTAGAAACTTTTAAATGAAACTAGAAAGATCATTTCCCACACTGACCTTGGAATACGGAGAGGTCATGATGTTGTTGATGACCCTGGGCTCCAAATCCAGGAGAACGGCCCTCGGTATGTAATGGTTGTCATCCGCCTGGTAGAAGAACACATCCTTGCGATCCTGTCCATCGGTGGCGAAGTCTTCAAGGACGCCATCTGGGGAGATGCCGTGCTCCAGGCACAATCTCTTCCAGAACTCGAAACCAACTGCGGGATTGAGTGATCTCGGTCAAAGCTGGAGTCTCCTCGATTTGAGAAGAACTTGGAGAACTTACTTTGGTTGCCACATTGGCCCAATTGAAGGGTTATAATCTCGCTGGGCATTTTGTTGGATTTTCAGTTTGGCTTATTTCGCTTTCTTTCTCAATAAAACATAACTGTGCAACTAGCGATGGAAATGGTTCGCATTAATATCGATATACCTCAAGCTTAAGAAGTACGAAAACTGTAAATTATTACCTATATCTTTTCAAATTGCTTATGTTTTAATTAGTGTTAATGGGCTTAGAATCAAGACTTAAAATGCTTAGAGTCCAGATTTACGCTAATTTTTAAAATGTTTGAGTTCAAATATGATTAGCCATATACTTATATTTTTTATTTATATTGCATTTTAAGTGCAATTTTCGTTAACTAAAAAGTTTGAATGCGTTGACTAGCTTTTTCAACTGCACAGCACACCCTGTAGCCGGGTGTAACGGTTCTTTAAGAGTCGGTATTTTCAGAGAACCGGGCGACGTTCACACTGCCAGCCTGATTGAAAAAATTCGTTGCAAATGTTTATGTACGAATATTAAATAAAAATCAAAAATGCTGCGGCAGGAGAACTTGGCGGCCAACTTCTGCGGTCTCCTGGCCAGCCAGGGCTATAAAGGTGAGTTTGCATTGGACCTATTTGTTCAGAGCCTCATGGAAGTCTATAAAAATCGTAGAGAAGGCAAACGAATGGCGCATTTTGGGTCAGGAACAGGATGGATCTCTGCTCACGTCCTGGATTTTCGAGTACTCGGACGAGGATCAGCGCAAGGAGACGTGCATTGGTCACTTCCACGCCACCAAAAAGCAGTTGCGAATCCTTTGGACCCTTGACAATTGCCGTGAGATTGTCCAGGCAACGATCAATAGCAGCGTCACGTTGCTATCCTTCGTGGAGAAAACGGAGGGCAAGCTCTATCAGGCCTTTATCGTGGAGGTAAGGAGCTCCGAAGGCGGCACGGCCACGCCCCTCAACTCGGAGCCCACCACCCGCCAGATGATGACCCAGTTCCTGTGGCGCGTCGAGAGTGCCACGCGCACTTGCTGGCAAGACAAGCTCCTGGTGCTTACCCACGAGGAATGTAGGTGTCATGTTTATCAGAAAATAACCCACATATAACTCCTATTCGCGTACATTTTCTAGCCATCAAACAGTTCAGCTGCGTGGTTAAACAGAGCTCCACAACCTGCTCGACTGGCGGAGGCGAAGGCAGCGCCTGGCGGCTAGACACCAGCATACTCACCTACGAAACGCTGGCCAGAAACTTTAGCTGGGCCCAGTGGGATCCCGAGTGCCAGGCCCTCTACTACATTCACTTGAAGCCGAAGGCCAAGAGCCTCAGTCTGCTGGACGAGAGGGAGGAGGCCGGTGAGCAGGCCACTCCCACTTTAAGCCCCACGCTTTCTGCCTTTCAGTTCAACGAAAAACAGCCCACGGAAACTGTGGTACGTGCAACAGTTTAAAGTGTAAAATATCGTGGTGGTTAGATATTTCTCTTCCAGCTAAATATACCCCTGAATTTGCCGAAGCTGCCCAATGGCTCTAAGGAGGAGTCTCCAAGCTACGATGACGATGCGGTTCCCTTGCGTGTGCACGATAGTTCGCTAAATCTCATCATTTTGGCGGACACCTCGGGCATGTTTTTCGTCTGCCACTACTATCTGTACCAGCCGATGCAGTCGGAGCAAAAGGACGTGCACTTTGCCTACTCGGTGACTTTACTTCACCACGGCTGTGTGGTGCACTGCGTTATGCCCGGAGTGCCGTGGCAAAAGGCTCGTCTGCTGAGGCCAACATTTGCGCTCCACGGCCAGCATCACTTGCTGGTGTCGTCCGCCTTTTTTGTCCATCTCTTGGACGTGGGACTGCAACACGAACCGAACTGCCACATCGTGTGTGCAGCCCACAATCGGAGTCCAGATATCACACAGCTTGTGCCTTTGCGGAAGTGGGGAGCCCTGGCTTACGATGCGGCCACCTTGGACCTCGTCTCCTTGACCGTGCCCAAATCGCATTTGATAGAGGCTTTCCGTAATGACAGCTCGCTGGACAATAGAATCAGCATTATCCACTACTTCCTTTTGCACTCGAATGATATGGATGTGTTGGCCGAACTACTGAACAATATCTTGGAACGCCCGCTCTCCTTGGATACGGTGGCTCTGTTGAAGGAGGCTCTTGTGGCTGGCAGTTATGCGGCTGCTGTTCGTGGACTGCCAGAGGATGCCAAGCCACTGATGAGGCTACTACCATTGACCACTGCCTCAGCCTCGCGACCAATTCACGCAAAGGTAGCTGACATAAGCGTGGGTCTCTCCCATGAAACCCTGCACAATACCAGCATGATGCTGCTCTCGCCACAGCAGCGCCTCTCACCTTACCGCACGGATATCTGGACTCGATTGTGGGACCTTCTGAACGAGTCTGCCAAGCAGGAGCAGCCTAGATTCAGTGCTGAGCAGGTGACAGAGAAGTTGATCTTTAGTCTGGCCTGCTACCAGCCAGAGGCTCTGTCCAGATGCACCACGCCCCTTTCGCCAGACGCGGGCACTGGCGGATTTGGTGACTATAGCAGCGGAAGTGCTTTTCCATTCAGCAACGAGGTGCTGCCCTTTATCGAGCTGGAGGGCTGCACAGCCAGCAAGCAGGAGCACGTCATTTCTGTGGTGGGTTGGTGCATAATCTTGAGTTAACATTTTAATTAAAGCCACGAAACTTACAGTATCTGCGCGAACTGAGCGTTCACTTGGTGAAGCACACCTCAAAGCCCAATACTGGCTTCCGCTGGCTGAAGGAGACCTTTTTCGAGCGTTCCCAGGCTCCAGCTCACGTGCATGCGGTGGCTTCGCAGTTCGTTTCCTCGCAGCTCGAACTCTCGCGGGCTCTTTGCTCTCTTGTTTGTCGAGCTGCGGGCTTAGATGCGCGCATGGAGACCTCGAGGGGCTTTCAGTTGATGTGGGTTAATGATGATTTCTAATCTGACCAGTTTTCACTAATATTTGTAATGATTGCAGTGACCAAATGGCTGCCAATCAACAGCACTCCCTGTTTCTAATACTTGAGCGTTATTGCCTGGCTGTGGAATCGATTGCTTTTCCCCTGCCCGAGGGTTTCTCCTCGTTCTTCACCTATTTGGGCTATCGGGCGCTGGGCTACGATATGTTTCTGCAGTATGTGGAGAATCATGTGTTCGAACTGCAAGTGGATGTGATGAAGGCCATTGTTTTCGGTTTGCTTTAAATGTACACTTATTTTGAAGTTTGTTTAATGTTGACTAATTCATTGCTGCAGATATTGAAGATTCCCCACTGGGAATTGAGCGGAAGCTGTCACTTTTGTCGGCTCTCCCCAAGCAGCGTGCTCAAAGGCTTCTCAAGTGCTGGCAGCATCCGGACAGCCTTATGATCCGAGGTCGCGAGCATGCGGCCAACATACTGTCGGGCCAGCAGCAGGAGGTGCTGCACCAGCAGAGACCAACGGCCTGCGCGAACCAATCGCGGAATAATGCGCGGAGCGGTAAGAGTTCGTTCGGTTACCCCATCATAAACACCATAACTTTTCATTTGCACACTCTTCACCCACACATATCGTCCAGCTTTGGGCAAGCCCCACACTGTGGTTTGCCACTCGCTGCTTTTGGTTTTTCTGCTTTTCATTCTAACCACGGTCGTCCTGAGCATATCGAGTTATGTGTTCAGGCAGCGCCCGCTCACTTGGTAGAAACCATGCCCATCGTTGACCGGTAAGAAACGCTGATCAGTGTTCGCCAGTCGTTGTCCCACTTGCACATTTTGTTTGTTGTTACTTAACTTAACAGTGCAGCTTTCTAATGGATAAATGTCGGTATTTTTGCAGATCTAACTGCCGAAGCCCTTTCGCCACTGGACTCCTTTCTCGACCTGCTGACAGCGAAAGCCAGTCTAAACGAATTGGACTATAATCTGCTTATTGAAACTACCTTAAGCTCCATCGACCAGCTGAAATTGGAGGCTTGAATTTAATGTTTAGAGTATCAAATGAAGTATTGTGTCAAATTATCATGTACTTTTTACCGACTTGAAGCGTCCACCCAAGTCCAGCTTACAAATATTCCAAAGATTTGATTTGTCAAATGTATTACTTAAGATTCTCCCCGTGCAGCTTTCGTCTTTGTCATGGTTATGTGTGCTTTTAGTATTAATTTCCTGTTCCTATTATTTGTGTAACGACTGATACACATGCCAAGTCTGTAACTATAATTTATTTATGTTGTTTATCTATGTACCTAAAATCATGTACGTATTTGTTTATTCTGTAGCTATTTATTTTATGTTACTGCAATGTATCTCGCATTCCATAATAAAATAACGAGTTGTAACGTAAAAATTGTCGTAATGGTTTTTTGGCAACATGAGATTAATTCAAAATTCAATCCATGACCACAATAAAAAATATCGATGGTAGAAATATATTAAATGCATGTTTATATTTCTATAGTTTACTTAAAAAGGAAAACGAAACGAATGTTTGTGTTGGTATAAGCCAATTGGATGTTCGACGAGGTTGTTGGACGGAACATCGAACTGCAACCGAGCTTAAGGTTCCAACACGACTGTTATACCGTTTCCACCCCTTCAGATTCCACAGAACAAGTCCACAAGAGCACGCAGTCCACACACACAGTCCACAGCGCTCGGCGTGGAAGCCATTCGCTTCGTGGCAAACTGTTTGTTTATCCAGTTGACAGTTTGTGGAAAATCGTCACGGTGAACGCATCAAACGGGAATCGAACGCGGAAGAACGGCGAGAAAAGCGAGGAAAAACGGGTGCAGAGACAGGACTGATTGGGAAATATGTGCGCCTGAGTTTCCCGGCCAGAAGGCAAAGTGCCAAATGCTCTGACAAATAATTCCTGTAATAATCAGCGCGATTGAAATCTACGCGACGCTCATAAAATTCAAATGCAGCGCAAAAAGTGAACAGCAGTGCAGCGGAAATTAAATTGTTTTAGCCAGTGCCAAAACGGAAATAGAAAATCGGAAGCAAAGCCGAACTACAGTTTAAACTCTCATTGCGACTAATCGAATCCGTTGGATTAACCGAGTCCGAAAGATGGCCCGCAACTTCCTCACAATCGGATTACTTTTGACCCTGATCGCCAGCGGTCAGGCTCATCTAAATAT